ATGAGATGGGGTCATAAAGCTAATCCGGATAGGTGGTTCATAAACTTACAACCTCAATTCCAAGAAGTTGTAGACGCAATGGAAGTGAATGGTGAACCAGATATAGCTGGTATTTTCAGCGCGGCTTTAATGCCATTGAAAGATATGAAACATGCAGATATTTTGGACCAGTATGAAATGAACATGGCTGAAGGAAATATAACACCTGACGTTCTAGAATATTTATCTCAAAGAACTACACAGAACCATAGAGATGGTATATTTGGTGAAGAGTTTAGAAAGAAAGTTAGGGAGAGAGAAGGAAGAGAACCTATTGTACATGACCTTGCAAACGAAAGTTTGCAAAATGTCATAAAAACTTACTTTGCAGACAATGAACCGAGAAGGGATGAATATTTAAGAAAACTCAAATGGACAGTACCAAATGAAATGTTAGTATTGAAAAACATGTTCCTTGACAAAATAAAACCAACTACAGAAATAAATGACGCAAGACTGAAACGTTGGGTAAAAGCTTTCCCATTCACAAAAGATATTATTGGTAACATGGAAAGAAAACCAGAATGGCTACAAAAACATATATTTGGAAACGAGCTTATTCCATATGGACAAGCTCTGTTTGAAGAGCTTGAACCGGAAACTCAGGAAAGAGTCATGCAAACAATACGCGAAGACTCAAATACAAACTATGGCAAAATCTTTCTAGGATATAGGTTACCTGAGATGGGCGACCAGAGCCCAAAGGCAAAAAGGACATGGGAAATTTACAACATACTAGGTGAACATGAGGCAAAGATGCAACAACTTGAAGCAGAGGGCAAGTTACCAAAAGCGACACCAAAGAAGAAGAGTAGAACAAAGTGAAAGTAGTGAAGAAGTAACTTCATCTAGTGAAAGTAGTGGCAATGAAGGAAAAAGAAGAGTTAAAAACTCAGTCAGGAAGAAAGTAAAGCTTGGTCCGAGTGGGTTCTATTATGACACATAAATCCAACTATTCTATATTTTTACCCATATGAAATGTACGCCGCTCAGAATATAACGCCAACAGTTTTGGATGCCATGAACGGAAATGTTTCCGAATGGTATAACGAATGCGACAATGCCATTAGAAGGTCAGAAATAGTTCCTGGAACTTACGAATATACAACTGCTGTTTCTTATGGAAACGTAGGTGAGTTTGGAGAAGGTTCTTCAACAACAGTAGATATTGCTTGCGACAGGTTTCATATTATTTCTATTGACAACTCATTCTTATACGTGGAACAAGACATTGAAATAAAACCTTCTGCCAAGTTGTCTGACAAGAAAGGTTGCAATGGAATTTTCTATGTCGGATACCAATATGCTCCAGAAGTTTTCATGGGATATAAGATATATTCTAACTCTGACTTAGTTCAAACAGTAACATGGGCAAACTATGAATGGTTCGCTTTGAGAAACTCAGTACAACCACAAGCTAGAGAACAAACAGACCAGTATGCAACTATTGAGAAAATAAGAAGACTTGACCCTAACGTTCCAGGAGTTTATGTTAACCTTTCTGGACAAACTGCAGCAGCAGTAACCAAAGTAAAACTGAAACTTAGAGTTCCTTTGTCATCTTTCCTCATCTTCAGGTTTTTAAGATACTTGCCAAACTGGGCAGGAAAAATTTCTATGAACTTACTCCAAGCAAAAATAACTTAGTCATTGCACCAACACAAGACCCATTCAGCATTACTGTAGCTGGAACTGGTGGAGCCAAGTTCTGTGACTTTTGCAAAGACAAAGTTGACTTAGACTTTGGTTTCTCAAACCTCAACACTGAAGTAAACTATTATTTCAATGCTGCTGGAATGCTTGGGACCCAGTTAAGTTCACATGCGAAAAATTTGAATGCAAGAGAATAGAAAGCAGACTTGCAGTCTATATGTTGGACCCAGATATTTCAAATGCTTTAGCTGCCAAATATATTGCAGTTCCACTTATGTTCCCTATACACCAAATATCTGTCAAAGACTTTGCAGGTGAAGTTGGAAACCAAAATCCAGGAGCCGCAGGTGCAAGAACAGATATTGCTTTAACAACTGCAATGAAACATGCAGATACTATGTTTGTACTGTTCAGACGAACTATAAATGACTATTCTTGTTTCTACAACCCTGGTATTAAATATCATATAAACATAGATGGCAAATATTATCCAAGAGAAGAATATTCTACAGTTGAGGATATGAGGTCATACAACTTGACATTAGATGCTATGAACTTTAACAACAACTTCACAACAACCATTAACCCTGAAATGCAAAGTTCTATTATGCCATATGTGAAAGTATGGACTCATACAGGAGGTCAAAAAACTCAATATACAAATGGAGACCGTTCAAACTTTTGGCTTGGCATTCCATTTGCTGACTCAGAAGACTTTATGGGTGGTATTTCAACTGTTGGTACAGTTCAAATACAATATACTGGTGACAGAGACGGTCCAGATGAATTGAAAGCAAAGATGTTTACAAAACCAATAGCACTTTTCACGGAAGATGCTCTTTTGAAGATTCGTTCGATGAAACCTGCTGGGGCTCCTCAGATTGGCATAACGACAGCTTCCATCGAGCAGATTTTGGCAGCAGGTCAGTAAGTTGTTCTTGAACTGACTTCTCTCCGTCAAATATTGACAGTACGCCAGTTTTGACATAATATTGTATTATAAACTTTCCTTTAGTAATATCTGTAAGTTTTGAAGTTATATTTTTGTCTGCTTCAAGAACTTTCACCATTTCAGTTATACCAACTTTCTTTGCTTTATGAAAATATTTAGGTTCAGCAAAGACTGCTATTCTATAACATTTTCCATTGTTTGTGTAAAGAACTATTCTGTCAATGTATTTGTATTGTTTGTGAGTATAAACTTTGTTCTGCTTCAATTCAATAAGATATCCGAATACGTCCATCTTTTTATTCTAAGTAAAATGTCATTTCCGAAAAATAGAAGCGTAAGTGTTTCAAAAGGTTTAATGGCGGTGGCAGATGTGAAGTTAAATTCACCAACTCAAACAAACAGTCAAAGTGTTGTTGTCAATGTCAAAGACAGAGATGTTGAAGTGGGGAAACCATACGAAGACGAAGATGGTATAACAATTGTTCCTGTAAAAGAACCAACATATCCTGAAGTTAGCAGAGACTTAAGTTCTGTTGCAGATATTCGAAACGACTACCAACAACTGAAAGACAAACTTCAAACTCAGGAGAAGATTTGTCAAGCTTTAAGTATAATGTTAAACTTGGTCGAACACAACCCTGTAAAAGTGAACTCATATGTCATTGCACCTCATGAAGTTTTGAAAGAACTATTGAAACTTTTGACAGAGGCAGACGATATAAACATCAAAGAAATAGAACCCGACATTAGTTGCTGTGGTGTTTCATATAATGTCATTGACAAGATATACGTTATGAAAGGAGGTGAAACGTTGAACTTAAAATATAGTTTCCCAGACGTTATAAAAATATTTGACGACCACAACATTTCATTAAAATTTATTTGCTAAGTAAATGGCAGAAGACATAATGGTTTATACTATTACGACTAAAAACCCTGAGTCATATAATTCTATAACAACAAACTTACAAAGTCCTCAAGGACGATATTGTAAACTAACTTAAACACAATGACGACTAAAGCCTGTTTTGCTCTTTTGACACCAGAAGACTTTATTGTTGTGAATGGTAAAAAATACTCCTTTGAAGATACTTACTCAGATATACCACCAACAGGTTTTGTTGACTTATTTAATACTTTAAGTACGGGTGTAACATGTGCTGCAACTAGAGCAGGTTTCATTATGTTTGGATGTCCGACTGAGTTTACTATAAACGATATGAGCTATAATACAAAACTTATTTCTGGTTTTTACTACCAACAGTTTCCTATAACAGGAAAAGGTGTCATACAAGGAATGTCTATTCCATTGACATTAAGCACACCAATCTTATATATTGTTTCAAACTTAGGTTCAAAGTGTTATTCGAATGTCGACAGAAACTATTATGACCAAAAGATACTTATGCGTATAAACAATACTTTCTCTGCTGGTTTGCCTATTGTTCATTCGAATGCAGAATTTTCAACCTTAGTGAACTCAAACACTTTGGCAAGTATAACGTTGACATTAGTTGACGCAAACTTTGTTCCTGTAAAACTTTTATGTCCTATGTATTTGTCAATGACGGCAGAAAGTTTCGAATTGGAAGATGCAACTGGTGAAAGTATTGTATTACAAGAACAACTTCAACAACAAATAGCTCAAGAACAACAAATGCAACAACAAAGTCAAGAATAAAAAAATATATTTTTTTTATTTTTATAAAAATGTACAGAATAGATGTTTCAGATTTTTATGACTTCCAAGCATTCAGAAATATGTGTCCATTTAGAGACTATAACAAAGCAGTCGAGAATTTGAAACGTTTAGTCATTTATGTTGACTCTGCCCCAGAATGTTATGTCATGAAAGAATGGGATGTTGTCTTTAACAAACCAAGAGCAACAATAGTGTCTGAACAAGAATGTAGACAGAAACTTAAGAAAATAAAAGTCGTACAAGTTGGAATGAAGATGTTAGATGCTTGGGATATCTTATTGTCAAAGTTAGAAGATTTTTCAGTTCGAGGTATAAAGTTCTATACACCTTCTCCAAACTTCTATTCTATCTTCACTGGATATAAATATGAACAAGTAGAATGGAAAGAAAATATTATAGAAGCTTGGTTAGACCATGTCAAAGAAATTATATGCAATGGAAACGAAAAGGTTTATGAGTATATGTTGGTTTGCAAACATCTTACAACATCCAAGTGCTAAAAATGAAACTGCTCTCATTATAATTGGAAAACAAGGAACAGGTAAGAACACATTCTTTACAGATATCTTATGCAAACTGTTAGAAGGTTATTCGAACCCTAATATGACAAACTTAGAAAACATCTGTGGCAAGTTTAACTCCTCAATAGAGAATATGAAACTTATAGTTTGCAATGAACTTCAAAGTATAGATACAACAAAAGTTTTGAACTCAGATGCTTTGAAGAGTCTTATAACAGACAAAGTTGGAGTTGTTGAAAGAAAGTATAAAGACCAAAGAGTTTGTGAAAATGTTGCAAACTTCATTATGGTTTCAAACAATGCTGTTCCGATGAAGTTAGAAAGTTCTGACAGAAGATATGTAGTTGTCAGAACGTCAGATTCTCATATGCAAGATACAGAATATTTTGACGACTTAGCAGAAACTTTGACATCTGACTTTTACAACCACTTGTTCTCATATTTTATGACATTAGATATTTCAAAGTTCAATCCAAGACAAATTCCACATACCGAAGAGAGACAAACATTGTTAGAAGCAAACAAGAGTGTATATGAACTGTTCATAGATGAAACTGACTTTGAGTGTTTAGATGAAAGGTCATTGTACGATTCGTATAAACAATATTGTCAAGAATATGGTTATATGGCAGCTTCTAAACGAACATTCTTGGCAAATGTCAAAAGTCTTTTAGATGTTCAGAATGGTGTATATACAAAGAAAATTTTTTCTGAGTAAATTTTAAAAAAATATTTTTTTATCCGATAGAAAAGATGACGAAATTCATCTCAGTAAACAAGTACATGTCAGGACTTAAAGAAGAACTAGACCCATTCACATATTTGAATGTTTACTTCTACCATTTTGAAAAGTCTTCATTCAGCAAAGTTTGGAACATCGAACCAGTTAAGTTTGCTATTGTGACTAAAAATGGTGCGAAATTTGAAGACTTAGACATAGAAGGTTTGTTAACAGTCAAAGAAAGTTTTGACAGAAGGTTCTCAAAACTTAAAGAAGGCAAAGCATACAAACTTGTTATACCTTATGAACCAAAGAAGACAGACGACTATGAATATTATGAGTCTAAAGTTGTAGAAGTTCAAGGTAAATTGGGTAAAAAGATTTTAGAGTCTAAGCCAGTGTTTACTCCTAAAGAGGAAGAGAACATTGACATTGACCCAGAAATGTTCTAAAAATAAAATTTTATTTTTACATGTCAAATTTCTTTTTCTCTGGAACTGGTTCAGGTTCTTTCTTCTCTTCTTCTACTTTCTTTTCTTTCTTTTCTCTCTTCTTCTTTTCTGGTGGAGTTATGTCAAATTTCTCAGAACCATATCTATGTAAAAGTTCTTTGTCCTTTAATAGCTCATCTATTCTGTTTTCTATTTCATCTTCAAGAACAGCGCATGTGTCTTCTTTGCATTCTAAGAACTTTTGTTGGACTTCATCTTTCCAATCGGCGTCATCTCTGTCAACAAGTCTGTCATTGACAAATTTTAAGACTGCTCTGCTTAATGTTTTATGGTTCTTGTCATATTCCCAGAAACAGAACTTTAGAACAAATTCACCTTTCTTATTTACACTATGTAAGATTTTATGGTCGACAGATGTTTTGCTGTCAAAAAGCTTGTCTCGAATATAGATAGCGAAATCGCTAGACATTTTCTAAAAGATAAAAATTTTAATTTTTCTAAAAATATGTTAGAAAAAAAGTTTGCTGACATTGACAAGAAATTTGAGAATGTTTTAAATAAGAACAAGAGGAAGTTAGAAAATGCTCAGATAAAGCCTATACATGACAAGTTCTTATTTGCTCAGAATGGTATAACAGGTCTAATTGCACCACCTGGGTCGGGTAAGACTTTCACTTATCTTAAAATGGCTGCACAACAACAAGAACTAGATGAGAAGAACCCATTCTATGAGTTAGTTGTTATTTGTTCGACTTCTGGTCAATTTGACCAAACCGTCAATTCGTTCAAAGATATTATAAAGAAGTCTAAGTTAGTATGTATAAAGGATACTGAGTTGTTAGATTGGATAAAGAAGTACCAAAGAAGAGTTTTGAAGTATAATGCTATAAATGAGTATATAAATTCTAAGTTTAAAGACCCAAATGAGGAAATGCAGAGAATATTAGAGAAGAAACACTTCAGAAACAAACAGAAAGAGATAGAATACATTTCGAAGAAATTGCAATCTTACGATTGGAAGACTTACCCTCATAGATGTCTTCTTATCTTAGATGACTTTGCTTCTCATCCTTTGTTAAAGAACAGAGAACAAGATATGTGTCGAATTCTTAAGAAGCTCAGACACTTTAACATCTCAGTTGTCATTTGTGTACAGACAGCAAAGAGTTTAAGTAAGGATGTCAAAAGAATACTTACTAACATAATACTTTTCCCCGGATTGTCCGAAGACGATTTCATGGAACTTATGAAAGAGTCCATGGCAGGTAAGTTTGACAGACATGAACTATGGGAGAAGTACAAAGTCATACAAGACCCTCATACTTCTTTCAGAATTCATATCTACGCAAACAAAGTTCAAATTGTAAAAAGTCAAGCTTGAAAAATCTAAGTGTTTAGTCTTAGTAAGATGGTAGCTTCTTAAAGCAAATACCATTGCTGAGTTTTATGTACGTGAAGAGAAGTACAATGAATTCAATTACGAGTACAATTGCAATGACAACTAAGGTAACTATTTTTGTCTTTTGCCAGCAAGGGTACTTCTTCTCTTCCAATGGTTCGGCAGAACTATACTCACTCATGAGAAATGCCAAAACGGTTTAATAGAAAAAGTGTCATTTTTTCATGTCCGCAGACTCGAAGGTGCAACACTTCCAAAATACCGACGAACTCAGAAGAGCAGCATGGCAGTATGTTCTTGACAACTTCTTTGAGTTCTCCAGGTACACCTTGGAAAATGCTGAAGAACTCTGACACAGAGAATTTGGAGAAATTGCGCTCCAATACTACCTTGACAAACAAAGGATAAAATAAGACTAAAAACTTAACGTTTAAAAAGTGACATTTTTAATGAGCTCCGAGTCACCGAGAAAACTTGGTCAGATGTTAGCAGCTTACTTCCCTGAGGAGGATGGAAGCGTTACATACATAAGGTTCAAAAACAACGAACCTGGAATTGCGTACCAAATTCGCAATTACATGACCATGGAAGAGTACGAAAGGTTCCTACAAGAGAAACCAGCTCTAAACAACTCAGAAAAGAAAGAATAAAAAGTTTAACTCGTAATTGTTTATTTTTTTACTTGTAAGGGCAAGCTGCAAGAATGAAGTCGACTATCTCAGTCTTTGTCTTGACCAGTTGGACTGCTCTTGTAAGCACGTCTGTTTTGCGGTCTCCAGCTGGTGTTTGACCTTCGTAATTGCGCATGTTCTTGAGAGCTCCAGCTGTAAATGGCTGTAAGATGAAGAGTCTCTCAGACTGCTTGAGGTAGTCTTCACGGTCACGAACCGAATCTGTGGTACGAGTCGAATTGGTCGACCTTAGGGAAGAGACTGAAAGCCTGTCATCTTCCATTGGAGCTGTAGCATACTCTTTGCGTAAACGGTTCAGACCTTCTTCGAAGTCTTGGTCTCTCTTCGATTGAGATTGGAATTGGAATTGCTGGGGTGGAGCTTGCTGGAACAACCAAGGGTTGGGGAAGTAAGGCATAGGCTGAGGAGGGTAGTTCGGGAAGCCTTGTGGTGGGTAGTAACCTTGAGGTGGAAATTGGTAGTAATTCGGAGGTACTTGCTGGAACTGAGGTTGCTGAGGAGACTGTTGTGGTTCTTTAGGTTCCTCTGGTTTGGGAATGGACTCGGTTGGTGGGACGTCGGACATTCGTTTGTGTCCTGTCGGACCACAACGATAAAAATCTCTGCTAGTAGCAGTACTTTTACTGACAGTAGCAGTACTTTTTCTGACAGTAGCAGTACTTTTTCTGACAGTAGCAGTACTTTTTCTGACAGTAGCAGTACTTTTTCTGACAGTAGCAGTACTTTTACTGACAGTAGCAGTACTTTATCGTCGAAAACCCTCTCAAATTTTCCTTTTTACTGTCAGAAAAAGTACTTTTACTGCTACTAGCAGTACTTTTACTGACAGTAGCAGTACTTTTACTGACAGTAGCAGTACTATTTCTGACAGTAGCAGTACTTTTACTGACAGTAGCAATGGTCGAGGTCGAACCTACCGACGAGGCAATTTACCTAATTGAAATTAACGAGCTTGTTAAAGACTTCCTCAGGCAGAATGTAAAAGGCAAGCTCGTTAACGGTTGGATAACGGGAAGGGCTGCCTTGAATCTCGAGACTTCGACTGGAATTCCAATTCAAATACCAGACGGGACAGCCTTCGACGACATAAAGCAAGCAAAGAAGGAAGCCATTATAAAGTTCTTTGCCAAGCGTCCTTGGATACTACTTCCAAACAGAGAGAACCCTTTCCCAAGAATGAACCAAATTCTCAAGGGTCTCCTTCACTTCTCTGGTCAGCCGTTCTACATAACCTGTGAAGGCGACATCCAACCAATTCAGTCAACATCTCATTTTAACTCACTTTTTTTATGTTTTTACTCACACTCGTACTCACCAGGTATGAGTACAACTATTTCAACTGTGAACCTTGTAGTGACCGGTCTTCCTGCAAATGCAAGTTCGGTCAATACACAGTTTATGGTGGCAAGAATTGAAATTCCAGACCCAACTCCAACAAGAACTCTCAAGTTACCAGAGACTCGTGTGAAGAAGAAGCCTTCTGGTAAGTTTCTTATAGCCATATACATGGCATGTTTAGAGTAAAAACATTTTTTTTTCATTTTTTGAATGAAGCAAGTTAAATTCGTCCCACACCAAACTCAATGGACCGATGAAGAGTTTCAAGCTATGGTTGAAGGTGTTGAGAACGACATAGACGGCGAACTTGAAGGAGCTCAAACCACAATTGCAACCAAAATTGCACAAGTCAAAGAAGAGATAGCTCCACTTAAAGCTACCAAAGCTACTCTTGACCTCATGGATACTTACCGTTTAGATGTCAAGAGAGGAATAAGACAATTAAAATTAAAACTCTTAAATTACGAAGCTATACTCCAGAAGTTAGCAGAGATGAGAAGACTTTACCAGAGCTACTTACATGTAAGGGACTTACCTTCAAGCAGTCCGACCAAAGATGAATTTTCTGACATTGTCCCAATTTTGTCCGAAAGTCAGCTCAGATGTTTTGAACTGCTCCCAACATATCCAGAATACGAACGTTTGCCTGAACTCTTCCGCAATCTCAAAAAACGTTTTTTGGTTCTCATGTTCGAAACTTTTATCGGAAGAGACAACAAACGTTCAGAAGAAGAACAAGATATTATTTTAAACTTGTTGTATGACATAACTGTCATAACAAGCTTTTTGAAGTAAAACCGCCATTCTCAAACCACTTCATTTTTTCGATGTCCGAACAAGCACCGAAGCCGAACACAATAGCAGATGTCCTTTCAAGGTTGCCAGACAAGCGCCCAGTTCAAATTCAAAATGCCCAATTGAAAGCTCATCTGACAAACACCATTAAGACTCTCCAAAGTAGTCTTATGACAGAGATGACCAATCTCAAAGCCGATGTCCTCATGAACCAAGCTTCCAATGAGAAATGCCTGAACGATTTCACGGAAACCTTGCGCAATTACGAGAGAGAGAACCGAGACCTTGCCAGACTCATCTACCGTTTCTTCGAAGAGATAGACGCCATCTGGAAGGTACTCGGAAAGGACAGAACATGCAACACCGTACTTCGTGAGTACCAAATTGAAGAAGGAATTGTCGAGGAAGAAGAGGAAGAAGAGAAACACGAAGAAGTTCCTGAAGCCGCTACATGGGCAACCCTTGTTGCCGATGACGGTTACGAAATTTCCCAACCCTACCCATACCAAATCCGCAACAAGGAGACAGGCAAGGTTCTTACCCCAGTCCTCAACAACTTGGGACACTTGAACCTTAACCTTCGGAATCGCGGTTCAATCTCCATGGGCAAGCTTGTCGCAATTCAATGGGTTCCAAATCCAGGCAAGAAGACGAAGGTCAGACACATTGACGGTGACAAGCTCAACAACCGTAAGGAGAACCTCGAGTGGTTCTAAGAGTAAAAAAATTATTTTAGGGGGAAACCCCAAGTAAATTTAAGTGTTTAGTTGGATAAGTAGGCACAATTAATGGTAATTTGGAAAATTAGCTCCCGACCTTTGAATTGGGCTCTTTCGTTATCCCAGTTGCGTAGGAGGTCGTCCCAGAGGAGTTGGTAGAATTGCCAATTCAAGGACGATTTGTCCTCCCAGGCATTGAGGATGTACTGCTCGTAGAGTCTCATGACCTCTGCCTTGCACCAGACACCCTCTCCCTTGCAACGTAAGGCTTCTTCGAAGTGCTCGAATGCGATTGGCTGCTTGACCATCCGAAATGACACTTTTTGTCCGTTTGGTCAATGTTCGTGTCTCGTGCCATAGTCGACGAAAATACAGACAAACAGGTTATATATGAGTTTGAGACCAAGAATGGTGTAACTCGACCTGTCCGATTCAAAGACTCCGAGGGCGACCATGAAATTAAACGGAAATTAGCTAGGAAGGAATATAAAATGGACTGGTTGCCACCACCTCCACCTCCACCACCTTTACCTGTTCCTCAAGTAAATAAGCCTTTCCCGTTCCCAAGAATTCCCACATTTTAATTCAAATTCGAATAAAAATTTTTTATTTCATGCAATGTTTAACTATTTCACCATCTTCTTTAACACCCCAGTACTTACGCTTGGAGAGGACATGAACTTCGGTGAAAATTTTGTCCAATTTGAATTGACCCATCTTCTCACCGACTAAACCCATTTCAATGAGTTTGTTATAGCCTTCTTCGTTCGTCATGAGTGCGTCAATGTTCTCATAGTAAACCTTGACTTTCGATTTGACTTCGGAGAAGAATTTGTTGTAGTTGTCAAGTACTGCCTTTGCGAACTGAGGGTAAGACCAATGTTCGACAATAGGTTTTAATGTGGTTACTAAGCCATTTTGACCTTGAGTGAATTCGTACTTCAAAACAAAAGGAGAAAACCTTTCAACAAAGTTGTCGACCTTCTCATAATGTTTACTCTTCATCTCTTGAGGTTTCTTAATGGAATATCCCCATGTCGAATTCATAAGCAATTTGAGTGTCATTGCAAGTTTGGGGTTTGAAGCTTTCCTAATATCATACAGTTGTTGTATGACTTTTCCAACTGTATAGTTCCTTCCCGGGAACTCACCATCTTCGTTTGGAATTCCAGTCGGAATATATTGGACAAACCTCATGTATGCAGCGTTAAGGTCGACATAGTATATCTTTTCATCTGAGTCGAACTTGTCGCAACCAATTGGTCCAGTTTGTGGAAATTCAAGTGAGTCTCTTATCTTCTGAGAAACTTCTCCTGCTATCTCATAAACATCGTCGAAGCAACCTGTTTCATATAAAACCTTCTGACCTAACTCAGATGCTCTCCAATACAATTTGACGTCAATTGGATGTCTCAATGGAAGTTTGTTTATAGCATCTTGAAGTTCTTGCAACCTCATTGGAAGTTCTTCTGGTTCAGGTTGGTATCCGAACATACCAACTCCTTGTGGAACTGTGTACTTCTTTTGTACTAGAACTTTGTCTGGAACAACTTTTGGTCTTGCTAACAATGAAAAGTTTGTTTCGTCTTTTGGTACAAAAGTTTCTGTCAGCTTGTCATCTGGAATTGGTTCCAACAAACCTTTCTCGAAAAGAATGTTTACAGCTCTGACAATGTTGCACTTGCCTTTTCCGAACAATGGGTTTGTAAGACTTTCGTTCAACATGAAGTGGTTGTGGACAATTACAATCTTCAACCATGGTAAATTGAACTCAACAACATAGTCGTCATGTGAAGAACCTTTAGCTGTAGGTATGTTGACTCGGATATTGACATTTGCCAACGGTGCAATTTTTGCCAATTGACCTCTGAGAATGTACCTTGTCTTCACACATGACTCAAGATACTTCATCTTCTCTTCTGTAACAAGACCAGAGTTCCTGAGACATGTAAGAATACAAGGTTCATTGACAATTGTTTCAATTGAATTGTAAATTCCATACCTTGTCAAGTCAATGTCAGACTTATTTATGAAGGGGAAGTATCCAGCATGTTGTCTGACTGCTTGAGGGTTAGGTTGGTACCATTCGAACTTGACACTTGCAATTCCTTCAATTGCATTCAAAATGTCTGAGTCGGAGTCAACCATTTGTTCTCTCTTTGTAGTCTTGAAAGCGTCAAGAAGTTTTGCGGCTGTTTGTTCATTGCCATGTGCATAGTAAATGTGACCATCCAAATCTGTTATGGTCAATCTGAGATTGTGTCCTTTCTTATTTCCGTCTTGAATTGCAGCAAGTACTCCCATGAAGCCTTCTTTGTTCTTTCCTTCGTCAAAGTTTACTGTAAAGGTTCGACCAGATGTAATTTGACTTCTAACTTCACGATACTTTTCATATGCATATCTTGTTCTTTCCATGGGAGCATGTGCGTCTTCACCTTTTCCTTTTTTCCTTCTCAAAGGATGCAATTGTTCGTCATGTTTCCAGTAGAATCTGGCAAAGCCGTCGTGTCCTTCAACTTGAGGTTCACTAACATCGAAAGGCATGTCCATAAGACGTTCTTCTTCTAACCTCTCTAGTCTGTTTGGATAATTTGCACGTGCTGTTTCCAAATCCATTTCGTAGCGAAGACCAGACAATTTGTCATAGACTTTTATGGGTCTTCCCTTCCTATATTTAAAATTCTTCGAAACTCTCCAACCATATCTTTGTAAC